CTGTGGCGTGGACGTTTGACCCATTGATAACGATGAACTTGGTTTTTGACTTTTGTTTGGTTGATGATAGTTCGGTAATTAAGGTTACGTAAAATTTTCAAAATTTTTTTTAAAGATGTAGAAAAATATAATAATATATTCATTAATTTAATACTATCACAATGGAAGAAATTATATCTGATCTGGAACAGCTAAAAATTTCCGCTTTTAGTAAAGTAAAAAAAATTAATCAGTGTATAAATGAAGTTACAATAGGTCCCAATTCTAGAAGAAATACAGAGCGAACTAAGCAGGATCAGCCTGTAAAAACAAAGAAATGTGCAGATAATAATAAATTTCAATGTACTTCTGAAAATGGATTACCTATTAGACACATTTTAAAGGAATTAGAAATTCAGAGACAAGGGGAAGTTAATGGCGCTATCCAAGCCCGCTTAAATAAATTTGAAGAATTTTCAAGGCAACAAGAAGTCACTAAAAAACAACAATGGCTGAAACAACAACAAGCGTTTATAGAAGATATGCAGCAAAAAGAATCCCGTATTTTTGAAGCTTTAAATGAGTATGACAAAATTACGTCTAATGAACATGCAAGGTTAACTCAGCATTATCAAGAAATAGCAGAGCGAAGGAAAATCCATGAAAAAGAATTAGCCGCAAAAGAAAAACAGAAGCAATTGATTAATACTTATATAGATAGTGTTAAGAAATGTCAGCAGGACTTTCGAACAATATATCAACAAATAATAGTTATTATAAGGACATGTGGTAATAATGAAGAATTAAAAAACTTATTGGGTGATGATTTTAAACAATTAAAAACATTACCAGAGCAATTAGACGAAGTGGTTTCAAACTGTAAAAATGGGAAAATTTCTGAAACGGAAGTACAAAAAGCAGTAGAGCTTGTTCAGCATGTTACTGCTTTGCAAACAAAAATTGAAAAATGTGTAGTTGAAGTAAATAACAAAAAAGAAGCACAAGTAACAACTGAAGTTACTGTTCCACAAGTTACTCCTATTATTTATAGTGAAAGGACACATAAGAATACAGTAGAGAAATCTGAGGGCCCGGCTGAGAAAATATCACCTTCACTGAGTTCAAATCTTTCGCAGTATGGCAGCCTGACAAATTTAAAAATGTATACTGATTTAATGGAATTTTTAGATCAGCACAATCAAAGCTTTAAAGATTTAGAAATGGACAGTTCACAAAAACAATTTAAATTTGAATGTAAGAAAGCTATAAACACTCCAGTGAATTCACTTTCGGGTATCAACTCAAGCCATATATTAGACAAGTACAACAGGTTATATACATTATTGAGAGGTCAGAATGTCATAGTTGGTGACAAACAAATAAATGCATCGAATCATCCTCAGGGTATTCCGTTTTGCACAGACTTACTTGCAAAGAAGTTTGTCTTGCAGGGGGATGTCATGGTATCCAGCAATCCTGAATCTGCTTTTTGTTATGCAACTGTGATAGTTTCATTGTGGAATGATTTTCCGACTTTTGGAAAGTTAGTATTGGCATATTTCTACAAATTTTGCCCTTATTTGGTGCCGTACTATATTCCCCGGCAAGTGGGAGAAACTGATGAAGAATTTTATGTTAAACAAGGCTACCAGTATATTGATGGTCAGATTGAAAGACAAGATAAATTTTTAAAAAGAATGACAGGTATAGATCAATTTTGATTCAATTAATTTGTCTAGAATGTTTCTTGAATATTCAATTTATTTTTGTTACTAGTTGCTACTTTAACTTCATTAAAACTCTGTTTTAGTTAATAACCAGTTGAGCCATAAATAAATACTTATACTATACTATAAATAAAAATGCAAATTTTTCTTAACCTTTAAAACTGACAAATTTTTAGGAATAATGAGACTTTATTCGGCTATATTGATAGTAAAACCTAGAAGAGGTCAAAACACAACACCCCATAATATAAAACATGGTTGGAGATGGTTAAGTTCAATTATAAAACTTGAACCTCGTGTAGACATTTCGGCTACAATGGTTCATACTTTCCTCGAAACTGTTGGTTTTGAATTGGAGGCACGATATGACAGATTTTTTAAGAAGTTAATAAGAATTATCTTCGAGAAATTCCTCCCAAGTTGTAGGGAGAAATGTACAGGTGGGGCAGTTACTAGGTTGGAATTATTATTGAGTGAATATATAAAGAATGGGAAATTCGAACAACCTAGCGGTTATTTAAATTATCCCTATTGGTAGTCTTATTCACATTGTGCTAATGTAGATAATGAAATTATAATTATGCATAATTCTTTACACTAATTTTAAAATATGTATTAACTCCATTTTTAAATACTGTACTAATTATAATAAATGAATGTTTTATACTAGTTTACTTTATTACATTACGCAATTCTTTATCATTATTATATTCCTGCACTGAATTAATTATTAATAAAGTTCTTATTATCGTTTAGAAGTATATTAATACAAAACAATTTTCTATAAAAATAGTACTTATATGTTTTATTTGTAATTACAAGACGAACTCAGTTTACATCATTTAATAAACTAGAACAAATTTGAAATGACAATAATATAAGATACACCATTTTATCTGGATATCCAAGAAAGTGAGTTGTTGCCAAAATTTTCAATAAGGATTCTCTAATTCAATCTTGAAGTCTTCACAATTAGTCAATTTATGTATAAAATCACTGTTATTCACCAATATACAATATTTGAATTAATTAATCAGGAGAGGTAGATTTAAGAAGTAATCTTTTAGTTGAATCATTTGCAACTTCCAGTTCAATTCTGTAAACGTTCCAATTACTTTCAGGATTCTTTCGTTCAGCCCAGAAATAAAGTGTTCCTCTTTGCTTGGGTCCCTTTACGGGTACTTCATATTTGGCAACATTCTCTTTAGCATAATTTTTCTTCTCATTGCCAATATCAATCATGGCATCTTTTATAGGTTCACCTAATAAATGTACTGCAGCCTTGTGGCTTCTTAATGTCTTTAAAGCGTCTTTGTAAAATTCCGTAGCCTTAATGTTGGCGTTTATTTTGCCCTGGAATAATAATCCCATTGTAACAGTTGCCACTCCCCCTATTGCCCCAATTTTAACAAGCATCATATTACTAATGGTCATTTTTCTTAAAAATAATGAATGAACTCAGTTTTATAAATGTAGGTGATAATTGAAATATTAATACAAACTTTTGAAATTCTCCGAATTCTAATTTCGAAATAAGCCATGTAACCTCACTTTTTACTGACTCAACCATTGATCACAGATTTCTAAATAAATGGATAGTATTGGATAGTGAATTGTGATTAGTGTGTGCTTACCCAAAAAATTTAAGGACCATGTTTGGGTTAAACTTAGAGCATTATATGCTACTGGCACATTCTCAGTATCTCCATATATAATTAATAATCTTGTTGCGTCGTGTTCTTTACTCTCTACATAATGTATATTTCTATGTAATTGCATTGAATCAAAGGCCCATAATAAATTTGACTAAAAACAAGTAGCAGTCCATATTCGAATGGAGATCAGTGATTACTGATCAGATCAGTGATTCTAATTTGACTTGACAGCAATGACAGCTTGAGTTTGCTGCTTGACAGAAATGACAGATGGTTGAAGATAAAGGACAAAAGCAAGAAGTTTATTTTTGTAGAATGTAGAATAGTTATTAGTTAACAGTACCAAATATTAAAGAGAATTAAAAATATTGAAGACTATATAAATAGTGATAAATCATGCCAAAGCCAATTTTAATAAAACATGTTTAATTTCAACGCCTTGAAATCTTTTTATAATTGGTTAATTTTCTGATTTTATAAGAAATAGGATAAGATGTAAGTACAGTACACATCAGCTCTATTCAGATAAAAATGTATAGCTAAACCCAGTTTAGAAGAATAGTGAGATTATCCAGTGCTAATATATAATAAAATATCAATCATAATAGATGTCCAGATGACTGTCTTGTACCAAACAAAAATGAGTGAAAGTGATAAAGATGAAATAGACCGAATTCCCTCGAAAGATAGGGTTACAAACTGGGATATAGCTGGTTTTATAATTTCTATTATAAGTCATATTGTGGATGTATTTTTTGATTGTAATTTAGCTTATCGGTATTATATGATTAATGAAAGTTATTTTGTTGCAACATTAGCTTTTATTATAATACCTGCTATAATAAATACAGCATTTAGTTTAAGAATGTATGTTCTGGACCATGAAAATCAAAATAAAAGTACAACCCTTACTAAGAGATTTACAAAGAGAAGAATCTGTTGTGTTATCGTCCTTTTGTTTCAATTAGCTCCGATCTTAAGATATTTTGATGCATTGTTGTATGCTATAAAATCAAAGAAAGCTGAAAAAAAGAAAGACATTGAAAATCAGAGGAAATATTATGAACTTATGGTGAAAGAAGATTCAGATGTTGCCCTATTACGTGTGCTAGAGTGTTTTTTGGAGGCGGCTCCACAACAAATACTACAGATTAGTATTATATTTTATAATCATGGAAGAGATATAGGATCAAACACTTTTACACGTAAGTGTGTTTATTAAATCCAAATGCTTTTATTACCACTCACTGATATAAAATAATATTCTCATTTCAACTGTGCATGCTAACATACAGTGCACATTTTATGCAAACGTTTTAATATATTCAAAGTTTTATGTGAAGTATTTGTTTTTGTATGCTAGAAGTGTTAATTTTGAGGATAATATGAATCGGAATTGAATACATTGGACAACCGTGCAGATCTAGACATTATTACAATTTTAGACCTTCTATTTTAGTGGTTCATCAGTTACTATCAATTGGAAGTTCCTTTGTTAGTATGGCATGGTCCATGGCTTCATATCAAAGGTTATTAAGAGTTTCATTAAGAAATAAGGAAAATATTACTTGGGCCGCAACTATAGTACAGTTCATGTGGCACTTCCTAGTTACAGGTAATTTACAAAATGATTCCATTTATATTGCCTACATTTTTATTTATTTAATTAGTGAAATTGATTTATTTCAAGTACCTAATATTTTATTTGAATCTAGTATATCTTATTCAAACAATACATTTATACATATATTTAACAATTAAATAATTATTACAGATAATATATACATTTAAAATAGGACAGAGGGTTAAAATATACTTTTTTATGCAATAATTAGGTACAATTTTATTCTACACAGATACAGCCTTAGAATAATTTTTAAATTGTTTCATTGAACACTCGGTTTTACATATATCTATTCTTGTAAACAAGTAAGATAAACAATAATCATATCAAACTCTGTTATATTTATCAAAACCACAAACAATGATTTCATCTTCACTTTTCGTAAAAACAAGTGTTTATTATGTGTAAGATAAAGAGCATGTGATTAAAAAACAGATTGTATTAATCCTTTGTATCTTTATCATTAAGCCAGATAAATCTCGTTAATGTCAGTTTATAATTTGAGGATAAATTGATATTTGATTGATATTTATTGTATTTACTATAGACAGACACTATATAACCTAATGAAGTTGAGTAGAGTTTATAAGCAGTTATTAAAAATTACTGAAATTTTAATATTTTTATTCTTGAGAAGCAAACCACTGTGGCATTGTGATCTCAAGATTCGGGCATAGCTGGGAATTAGATATGGCATTGCACTGATTTTGCAAGACCGAGGGGTAACCACTTTATCAAACATTCAGGGACTGCCTCGCAGTCACTATATCTGCTTTAAAATGATTGCAAATAATTTTTCTAAATGCAAACGACAATTGTTTATTTTATTTTTGAATTCAAAGTAAATTTCTGATCATATTTTCTACACTGTACCCTATATTCTAAATTTTTTCAAGAAAATCGTAATTCTACAAGAATTCAACTATCAGCTTGGATATTGTCAAGCACTTGGTGGAGATCAACTTGAATAAATGTTGAAATAATATTTTGCATAAAATTTTATTAACAAATTTACTAATAATGAATTGCATTACAAAAAAAATTTTTTTTTTACATCAAAACTGTGATGTTCTCAAAACAAATTTACGTTGAATTAACAAATGGAACAAAAAATGGGGGTTTTAATTGAAGTAAATTAAATTTGACACAATGCCACCTTATATACATGAAATTTATTTAAAAAATTTGTAACTAAAATAAATATCGACGGATCCAAGTGTTTTTTTTGTTATTATTAAATTATAATTTAATTGCCCCTCATATGTAGCATATTTCAGGCATTCTTTCTGACACTAATATATTAAATAAATAACTGCCGATTAAGAATCAGAACCCTTCCCTCAGCCCGTTGTACCCGATTGGTTGTTCTCTCATGAAAGGCATTTTACTACTTATTAAACAAATTGTGAAATAGGCATTATTTTACAAAATTTGGACTAGCAGTTTGCCCATTGTTAATTATTCATGTATTTTTGCATATTAATGTCAATGTCAATAAAAATTGTGGTTTATAATAAAATATATAAATGCATATTTTACAAGAATTAAAATTCTTAAGAATGTCTCTTATGTTGCTAATTCGCTGGGTGAGTTATTTACACAAGCATTTTTTGTTTTGCTTTTTCACATTTTTATTTTAATATTTCCTTACAGTATCAAGAATTTTATGCATAAGTGTCCTTGCTTCTATATATCCGAAATATACAGGATATACAATACTTGGTTTATTGCTCCATTGGATGGTAATGACTATATGGTTATCAAGTACTTGTGCCAAAAACAACTTTTGTGATCACAATCGACTGTACGACTTCCTTTTCTATGCGATTTTTGGAGCTGTTTACATTTTTACTCAAGTAGTGCTAGTTGAAGGACCAACTTGTTTGAAATATTGTATTTTTTATGGTATTCTATTTATGGAAAATACTATAGCTAATGTCCTTTGGATTCTTTATGATGATAAAGATGTACAAAATTTGGTTTATTATTGGCCAATTGTGTATTTAAATGTGATACCATTTATATTTGGTATATTCTTTATGGTGCTGTATTATAAAGTGTTCCACCCAACCATAGGCTGTGTAAGGAACCAAGAGATTAACAGTTAACATAAATGTAAAATAGATCAATTATATTATTTATTTAATTTATTTTATACTGATTTATTGCTCCTATGGATGAACATTTTTTGTGATTGAAAATTGTCATGTATAAGAAAAAAAATTAATTATTTTTTTGATCATAAAATAAAAGTGTTTCATTAATTTTTTGTGATATGTTATACTAGTTTTACACAATTTTAATGTTGATAGCGTTGTGTAAAACCTGCTGTATTTTTTTTTATTATTTTTTATAGTATAGATTGCTGAGATGAACAATATATAAGTAAGGCTTTTTTGTTTTACAATTATTTGTAGTCATTATATTTAGGTCAAGATTGCCACCTTCCTAACAAGCATAATCTAGAAATTTTAGGTTGGGAATGAAAAAACGTTAATGTAAAAGTTTATTGCTAGTCATATAGGTACTTTATATATAAAAAAGTAATCATCATTTCTTATATTTTTTCACGGAATCATTTTAAAAGTCCACTTTATGTAATTGTTTAGGGAAGTGGCAATCCTGTTAGACATTAGGGAACAATATAGCTGCCGGAATAGTTATAAGATAAACATGACTATGGAGCTGTTTAAGAATATAGTCATATTTTCTGTGTATAAATTTTATACAGGGTGATATACGAATTTGTGTAATTATTCTTATTTAAAATGATCAAAACCTATGAAGCACTAAAATGTCATCATTCATTTTAGCTACCTACATGTCATATAAAATCTTTTAAGATGAATACCGGCTTTCATAATATTGTTATGTAAGACAAAAAAATTTCGCTATTGTAGATTTGTGAAAACAAAATATTTGGTTTGTCCTGAATCAAAAATATTTGCTTGCTTTTCATTTTTCCACCTAAAGGTCTGCAGAAGAAAATTTTTGGTTTAGTTTTGATGTATTTATCCAGTGGCGGCTCGACAGGTGACGCAAGTGGCGCACGGCTTCACCTAAAATTTCCAGTTGGTTGTGCAATTTAAAATATTTTTAATTTTATATAAATTTTATAATTTAGGTATAATTCTATATTGAAAATGTATTGTGTTTGTTTGTTTTATACACAAAATAAACAGAATAGTTGCGCGGTGTCCGCCTTCTGAAAAAACATTGCCTTCGTTGAGCGCAAACATCAGCTTCGTACCATACAACATATAGCATAAGCAAGTGACGTAGATCAAAATCAGTTTGTATTTCGCTTCACTTTGTAGCGTTGTTTACGGCGATTGTCATGGCAAGGATACGGACAACACGTGAGTAAACTAGGGTGTGGGGGGGGGGTACCAGTGATGCAGAAATTGAAGCAGGCATTGTCTATCTTTAAACAATTTATACGATATGTCGCCCAGTGTACGATTATAATGGTTCCTTGTTTTGTAGAATTTTTTCCTATGTATGATCCAGAATGTATTTTATTGGAAACGTCATTTTCCAGATGTGCCTTCTCTCGATGTTGAAAAAAGAGGGAAGTCAAAAGACAAAGTATATGTTCGGAAGTTTCGGAATGAATGGTATTCGGAGTATAAGTGGTTGTGTGGAAGTGTTTATTTAAAAAAACTTTTCTGTAAGCCGTGTTTAATTGTGTTTCTATTTTTTATAAAATCTAAATGAAAATCCTTCTTGCGAACATCAGTTTTTCGGTAATATTGCGAATGCAACTAAAAATTTCCAGATTGATTTAAAGCCGTTTGACACTGAAAATTTGAAAATTTCAATCTATGAATATGCTTTACCTATTCTCAATGTCACGAGCCGCCACTGTATTTGTCACTAAACTACATTTTTATTTAAATAATACACATATACGGATATTCATATTTGGTTTTCTATCTGGAAGAAAATAATGTTAAAGAACAAAATTATAAGAAATTCTCTTGCTATCTCAAAGAAATACGTAAATAAAAAAAACAATTGACTATATAAAAATGTATTGATTCCATAGTAATTTTGATTGTATCCATTATCTGGGGTCAGTAAATAAAACAAAATATTGTGCAAACAGTTAAAACATGGGTGAGCCATTTTACTGATATATGTATTGCAATCTCAAAAAATTTAAAGACGAAAAATAGTTAAATGGGAAAGTTACTGTTCTGTTATTTCAGTTTGTACAGGTTTTTCAAGATATTTTGATTATTTTGCATTTTCTTTGTTTTAGGTTTTTCTGTGCTTATGGTCACTATTTGAAAGCTTAAAATATGCCCTTTTCATTCAGCTTAAAATTCAATAAGACACTAATGCTGAAACAATAATATGAGTCTCCAGTGAAATTCTTTGCAAAAGGTTGCTGTGATAAAGTTTTTACAAAACAAAACTAGTGAAAGAAAAGAGATAAGAGGGTAATATGTTATGCGAATGTTTCTATACATTAGATAAATTGCTCTCTTAATTAAACAGTATATATAAGGTTTGATCAAAAAGTAACGGAAATTTTTAATTTTACGTATTTACAATATACACTTTCGAATGCCTCTAGGTATCGTCTTGAGCAAAATTTGCGATTTTGATTTTATCTCATCTATTGTTGAAAAATGTCCTTTGAGTATCCGTTTTGAGTTTGGGAAATGGAAAAAGTCACAGGGGCCATGTCTGTAGAATAGGGTGGTTGTGGCATCACAACGGTGTTGTGTTCACTAAGAACTGTTCGATAAGCAAAGTTGTATGTGCTGTTGCATTGTCGTTGTGCAAAATCCACGAGTTGGCAATAGAAATTGGACAAAACTTGTAGGTACTACTTCTCAAGTGTACTACAAGACAGAAAAATTCATGATTCCATTGTAGTCGAAACCGATTAGGACGTTCACATTTGACCAGATCTCACTTCATCTTTGATGTTTTAGATGACCTTCCTGAAAATATTCGTATCATTGCCAAAAGCCTTGTTTAACACTTTTAATGCTTCGCTACCGTTAATTCTGTTTTTAACAAAATATCCGACAAACTGTTCCGACTTTTTAATCGCCAAAAACACTGAAGTAAGTCATACTCATTCGCTCGCTAAACACAAACTAAGCATGGCAGCTGCCTAAAAATTGACAGGTACATCACTGAGTACCAATACATAACAAAAGAGTCAACTCGATAGACAAGCTCAATTTGAAAATCCCTGTCACTTTTTGATCAAACCTCATATACTTAATACGAAAATTGTCAATGGTATTCAATAAAGCTGCAGCGTTTACTTATACTAAGAGGAGCTGATTATTTTCCTCTTTTTCCAATGAATAAAAAAGTATTAATTACTTTGTGTTTTATGCAAAAATGGTATATGATACAATCTAAAAACTAAACAAAAGCAGTATAGCAGTTACACAAGGAAATTCATATTTTGTATGTTATTTTAATTAAACATATAACTGTGGAATTAATTTGAAACTGTATCCCCACTGATGAAATGATGGTAATTTGTGCTAATTAATTGTTTAGTTTTTCTAAAATTGTTACAAGGCGGAAATATGTATGTTTTTATGTTTATAAATAACATAATCAAATATTTTTGAGAAGCCACCAGTGCAGTACGTACATTATTATTACATTACAGAATTTAAATGCTACGTTGAAGATGTCATTACAAAGACTTAAGCTAAGTATAATAGTATATTGGTAGAATTGGTTGATAAAATATTTATTTTCTTTCAATGACAATATGTATATACATAATTATTAATCATTTTTTAATGTTAAAATATTAACTAAGGGTGCAATACATAAAAATAGAACGCATATACTGTTATATTAAAGAAAACGTACATAGCCCAAATGGGTTTATTTAAGTTTTCTGTTGAAATTACATATGCTCAAAATTTCAATGATAAAGTAAATATAAATGTGATATTAGGCTTGCTACTATTTACATAAAATATTTTTATATAGCTTGTTTTTTCAAAGTGTATCAAGCTGAAAATTGTACATATAATTGTATTAGAAAAATTATACAGCATGAATAAAATTAAATATTAAATCGGATTTCCTGTCAATTTGAAAAATTTTGTTATTCTAATTTCTATTACGATGCCAGTGCAAAAATGAAAATGATTTTGCATTGTTATAGAAAATAAATGTACAAAACCAAGGAACAATTATTATTAAGATCAGAATTTGATAATTAGCTCTCTGACCAGAAACTGGGTGCCTATTTCACATATTTTTGTCTTATTTTTTTTGTAAATTATTTGTATATTGAAATAAACGACATTGTATGTACAAATATGATCTTATTTTTTCCTAAATTCATTTTAATCATCTTCTTTCAGGTCAACGAGTATTTCCCATCTTATAGCCTTCTTATATACAGTGTGACCCATTTCAAATCGGTACCTCAGAGCTAAACTGTATTAACTCCATTTTCTACGAAAATGGGATTATTTTTGACTGCCCAACACAGTTTCTTATGCTCTTTCACGTGCTAAACAGTAATAACTTGCATTCATGATACTTTCGAAGATAGGCAGTGCTAAATAATAATAAATCCCAACCTCTCTCCAAGCTAGACAATCGTATGTGTATTTAATATTAACCGTGTTTCATTTCCACAGTATTAAGTTCCTTGTTACATCAATTTAGTCCGAGCCAAACAGGTGTATATGTGGAGTTAATATTCTATTAGTTTGACTTCGGAGTATTAACTCCACACATATCAAGATCATGTTGGTTTACTTAAGTATTATATCCACATTCATTGTATGTAGACGTGTTTTTGCAGTGTTGGTGATAACTGGTAAATTATTAGTTATTGAAAAAGTGACTGATGACATGTAAAGGCGACATTTCTGTTTAAAGAATAATAATTACATTTGTTTTTGGTTTTTCTATCCAGTTTATTAAAAATTAAGTGTTGTTGGCTTATTTAAACTTTAGTTTTTTTATGAATATTATCTGATGTTTATATTTTTAAACATATTTATTGAATGTAGTTTATTTATTGTTTTGTTGTTTGTACTATTTCAATAAAAAAAATTAAACTGGTAGTTTTTATTAGTATTATCCTCAGTATTATCGCACAATTAGTAAATATTATAATATAAAATCCCTGAATCATGTTTGTGCCAAATAGTGTTAACTCCATTTTTTCGAAAAAAAAAATACGAATAGAAAATTATTCTTTAAATTACAATAAATAATATTAAAAGACGTATAACTTCACATCATATTAATTTTTTTTATCGAGGAGAAGTAAGAGTTCGAAGTTATGGAATAAGCAAAATTTAAATCTTTAAATCTCTCCTATAAAATTTTATTTTTGGCACTTAATACAGGTTAACTCTGAGGTACAGAAATGGAAACAGGTCTAGAAAAATGGTATTTATTATCTGATTTATTTCGGGTTTTTTTCTAAAAGATGGAGCAATAAAAACTCGTATTATGGCGCAAAATATTAAAATTTGATTTATATGTTCAAGGCCTACTATTTTTTTCACTATCAAATTTTACAAAAACCGTTTAGTGATTGTTTTCTTTCAAATCTAACTATGGCACTAGATTTAGCATACCTAAAACAGTTTTATACCAAATTTCGTAAATAAATAAATAACTTAATAATGAGGGATTTATAACAATTTTAATGTAATGTAATTTTATAAAATAGTAATTTTCTGAAAAAAAAGGCTATGAAAAATGATTAAAAAAAAATGAGAAATTAATTTTATGCTTTTACAATGACAATTAATTAATTTCGATACACTTTTCGAATCCCTTACGAATATTTCTTTGAACATTCTGTAGTTGTTGCACACAACTCTTCTTTATATAGGCGTGACTTATAAACTTTAGATTTTGACATCCCATATAAAAAAGTCCAACGCCGTTAAGTCCGGGGACCTGGGTGACCATTTATATTAGGGGGCTATTGCTATCTATCCATCAGTTAGGAAAGAACATAAAACCATTCTTGCATTATGGATAGGACATCCATCTAACTGAAAATGAACTCTTTCTTGTACTGGAAGTTCATGTAATATATTCCAAAATTTATTTCTGGTTATAAATCCCTCATTATTATATATTTATTTTCGAAATTTGGCATAAACCGTTTTAGGGGATGTTGAATCCAGTGCCGTAGTTAGATTTGAAATAAAAAAATGCGTTTTTGTAAAATTTCAGTGAAAAAAATTCTCGGTAAGTCTTGAACATAGAAAACAAATTTTAATATTTTGTGCTAGAATTGAGTTTTTACTGCTCCATCAAGAAAAAAACCGAAATAAATCCGATAATAAATACCATTTTTCTAGGCAAGTTTCCATTTGAAATGGATCACACTGTATATTTTTTATAGAACTGAAAAAAAAACAAAAATTTGATAAAACATATATTGTGTAAAACTTAATATATACATTTTATGTTTATATACATATAATACAACTGAGTTAATAAATTGGACCGTCTTCTAGATTGTCGTCCTCATCTTCGTAGGCTTCGCCATTGTCGAAATAATTATTTGCATAATCTGTCCCATCATCCATTTCTTCATCCTCATCGATTTCTTCAATTTCTTCTACTTCATCATCACCCACATTATTTGCTGGTACTTCAGCATTCTCCGATTTTTCTTCTAATTTCTCTAATAATGTAAGTCTAAAAATGAAACATACAAAAACATATATTAATGATGAACTACGGATATAATTGAAATATAGTAAGTTCTCGTCATACTGTGCGTTTAGGACGGTGACGCAGATGTCTTATGACGAACTGTGATATAACGAAATACATAAATACATATATATACACATATTCGTATATATTTATGTATATATATTTTTATACATATAAATAAAACTATACAAATAAATAAAACAAAAAAAAAACAAGAACTAGAGCTCTGGATTAAACATGGACTAAAGCTGATGTATTATAAGTGAATCTGTGGTATATTGAGGTACGATATACTACTTATAAATTTACCTTTGTTCTACATTAACTTCCTTGACAACTTTCTTTTTAATTCTTTTCGCTAACATTTTAGGCCTTAGTTCAGATGGAAATAATGCCCAGTCATACTTCTCTTTAACAGTCGGTAATTGAGCGACCAATTTGTCTATTTCTTGTTCTGGTTGGTTATTTTTATTTTTTGGCAATTTGATATATGAACCCGACAACTGCATGTGGTCTATGAAATCCTGCCTTAATATGAGAAGATAGTCCATTTCTAACGAAGGCTGAAATAAGTTGGAACATTCGAAAAAGGATTTAAAAATTATACAGCAATATAGATTCTATATATTACACATACATTTATAGGCACTGGTCTTCTGTCTAGAAGAGGGTAAAGAGGTGGCGGCTGAGTTACAGGACCTGGTAAGACTTCATTACCACCAACCCCTAAAGCATTTAATTGTTCTCTATTGAAGGACTTCGTGTTACCACCTCGTCCTCCACGTCCACCTCTTCCTCTACCACTCATTTTTTATTTAGACTTTTAATTTCTTTAGATCGTCTGTAAGATTTTTAACTTCTGATTGTGCCTTTTCAAATGCTTCCTAAAAGAACAAACAGTGCTTATTAAGTATAAAAGAATTATACTGTAACATAGCATTATATGAAGTACTACGAAAGGCAATCTTACTAAATCGTATATCACTTTAACAATCAAGGAACAGCTTGGGCAAGTGGCAACTTCTTCACCAGCTAATAATTCCTCCTGAAATAGAGATGTATAACTATATATTACTAATAAATTTGGTAAATAGTACCTTTGATATTTGGAATCTGTCTCCACATGGACATGGATAATAATATATTTCCTCGTCTTCGTCGTATTCGAAATCCTCAATTTCGATTTCGTCGTGAAAAACACTCATAACTATTGCAAAAGAAAATACGAACTTTCATAATTACTCATATATAACCATACTTAATTTAGGGTTATGTTTAAAAATTATAACATAAGTGATAACAAATTAACGTACAGCATTTTGTTTCTTCTTCGTCTTCTTCACAAACCTAGATTAAATATAGACATACGGAGCTTATACTACCCGCGACCTGATATCCATGGCCAACTAGACAAAATTAAAAGGCTTACACAATTATTGTTATAATAACCATTTAGATCATGTCGGCTTAAATAGTACGAATACTACGATTTAGCACGGTTTATACTCACAAATCTAGTTTTAGAAATTTTCCTGTCTTAATCTGAAATAGAAGAAGAACCAATGCAATTAATAAACGTAGGTGAACTTTTATAGTGAAAACCAAAACATACAGCTACACATCGTCGTTGCGGCGCCTTCAAGACGCGACATGTGCATTTTATCAAATTGTTCAGTGGAGTTAAAATTGTTTCTTCGCTTTTTTATTTAAGAAGATATTGAATTATGGCAAAATGAAAAACAATAAGACGAATTTATTGTGCTGTATTATGTAGTTACTATTTGTGATAATTAATGTACATGTATTTTCGTATTGTGTAATATTACTAAAGTAAATAAAAATTAATTACGAGTATTAGAATAATAGCATTTTATTTTTGTTTTAATTTGGTGCATCTTTCCTTTATTTTTATCATTGATTTTTTTTCAACCTAAATATAAACGAAATTGACGTTCGCTACTAAAATTTGCAAAAGATAAGGTCTGTAATTTTGATTATGTTTGTATCTGCTTTGTTATGTGCCATTTTACATGTACAAGAGGAGATATATAGGAATTAGGTATAGTATCTAAATACTATTTGTGGTTATGCATGCATTTAATAAAATTCAAATTAATCTTTATTATCTGTTGAACCCGTTGCTCCTTGTAGGTTGACCACATAGAAGAAGGTAGCTCATAAAGTTCTAATTTATAAAGTAAATGCATCGGATGCATCCGTCGTCTACCCCGACCGCAAATGCGGCCGGTGTAGGCGCTTTGTGGGACCTCCTTTTGTCCTGGCTGGGCCCCGCCGGCTAGGGCCCTTTCTTTTTGCGGTCTTCTTGCTTCGCCGGCTCGTCTGTGTAAACTCCGGGGGTGGTGTCATGTTTATGTGTGGTATGGTTGGGTAGGGTAGTGTGGCTATGCAGCCTGGGATGCGTTTTGCTAAGGTGGCCCTTAGGCTAGCGCGGGAGGGGAGGGGTAAGGAGGGTATGGGGGGTGTGTATGTGTGTGTGCGTGTGTGTGTCGTTGTCTTCATTTCTTGATCCTGGCGGTCTCTGAAACAGAAAATGTTAGCGAGCAGGGGAGGGGGGATGTCTTTGGGGTGGTCATCCAGGGTCAAAAAGTTGGTGAGGAGGGGATTGTCATGTCTAGCGGCAACGTCAAACCGTTTCTCCGCGTTTTGTCTTATTGTCTGTGTAGCGTTTGTGTATTGTAAGTCTCGTAATATGTCAGTGTTTCTTACGTACCAGG